TCTGACAAAATTATGTCTAGTGATTTTTATGTGTGTGTGAAGGTGAGGGAGTTCTAACGAGCAAATACTTACGTCAACAATCTGCAGGAACAAATTGGTTTTCTTATCTTTTAGAATACGAGGTAGCAGTTTCAAGGCAGCAGTTTCAAGGCGGCAGTTTCTTTCATCTTCTTTATGCCTTTTGTAAGTTAGAAAAAACATGGCAATGTAAGAGTGTGTGTATGCGGTAAAATTTTTAAAACCGCAAAGTTCATGACATGCATGCATGCATGGCCTTTAGGTTGACGGGTGCAGGATTTTTAATGCAAATTTATGATTTGACAAATGTCCAACCGGTTTTATTATTTTTGTCACATATTTCAATATTCCCATTATCCTTAGTCTCTTACGAATAGAGTATTTATGTGTGAACATATGCAACTTACTCTCCGAAGTGTCCTCTCCAGTGCTGTCGGACGACCAATGACACAAGGATTTTAAATTTGGAAATTGCGACGCATACTCAATAAGTTTGGTGGTCAGTCTGGTGAAGATTTCTATACCATCCACAATACCATCCTTCATTTTAGTGATCCTGTAGAACTCCCTTTTCAACTAGAACAGAAAGCTTCCAGCTTTAGTTACAGTATCTTGATCTGCTGTCCCAGGAAATTTCCCCCCGGAGGCCATATTTCCTAGGAAATTTGGGCCTTTCCTCAAAAACCTGGCCCCCTAGTTGTAGGATTGAACAAATATAAGTATAACTGATGAAAGTAAGTCTCTTATAAAGATATCTCTGAAAAATATATGTGGAAGACAATGATGGTAAAACAGGCATTTTATAACCTTGTAAACATAGACATTCAACAACTTGGACGTTTTAATCAGCGCTGAAATTCCTGTTGCGTGAGTACATCACTTGTGGTTACCTATACGATCTACATCCAAGTAATAAATTGACTGAATTCACAATCGAAACCATTCTGAAAAAATAATTGTTAATCATAATGTTCATTATCGGAATGCATTTTAACTGTTAGCTAGCAAACTAACTTTAAAATTTTAAGATTTCTAAACTTTATTTGATGCATTTTAAGACCCACGTTTCCAAAGGGGGCAAAATGTCCAGAGAGGGGGCCATATTTCCTAGGAAAATTTGGCCTGGGGCAAATTCAGAAATTTCTTGTTACACCAATAGTAAATCAGTCTTTCATTTATTACTTCCGCCAGGAGGTTATGTAATCATCTGGGTCTGTCTGTATGTGTGTGTATGTGTGTATGTATGAGTGTGTATGTGTGTTTGTCTGTCAGCACGATAACTCACGAAATACCCAACATATTCATACAAGTTTTTTTGAATGCATGTCCTATCGGCTAAGGAAGAGTTGATTAAAATTTGGTTGAATTTGGTTAAACATTGAACGAGAAATTAAAAAACGTTTGTCTTGCTTTTTCTGTCAATTAAAAAAACTTACTGAATGTGTAATTAGGACGTGTATAATTTATGCACCGGTATATACAGGGTATTTAAAAGGTATAGAAATAATGTAATTATAGTATCTTTTTTGATTGTATACAATTGGAAACTGCACTTCTACAAGGGAGGCTGCTCTAAAATCGTGTGCTTTAAATATATATTCTAATTTCTTAATAATTTTATATACACGCTGGCAATATTTTAGGTACGTTTTATATGTCGAATGCGACTAAGACAATAGTCAACAGATAATAATGAGATGATAAACCTCATTAAGCTTCAGCCTTAAACAGCCTTATCATCTATTGTCTTAGTTGTATTGCAGGCGACCGAAATTCAATAGACCCTTTTCATAAATGGCTGCCGATTTATGTGCATATAAATTGGCCCAACTAGCCTCATACTCGTGTTAAGATTTCAAAGGAATTTCTACCCAGAGACGAGGCTAGTTGGGCCAATTTATATGCGCATAAAAATTTTTAATCGGCAGCCATTTATGAAAAGGGTCTGTGTCTTAAGCCTGTTTTCCACTTCAACCGTATCGTAACATACCATATAATTTTCTTTTGTGTCGAAGTCATTAGTTCCACACTACCGCTCAGGAAACAAAGAAATACGCTACGTTTCAGTACGATACGGTTGAAGTGGAAAACAGGCTTAAAACAAGGCTTACGGAGTTACGCATCATTGCGTTCAGCAAAGTGCTAGGCTAGGCAAAGTGCTACAATCTTGGTCATAAACCGTAGGATGACGATAAATTTTTATGCATTTTTAAGGCCTCTCCCCTTCCCCCCCATTCAATGTTGCCGTTTCGTGTATATATATAATCTGACATACTGTACAGACGAAATTGTATATGTGTACTAGAAATGTGGGCTAGCAACATTGAATGGGGGAAGGTGTAATATGATTTTAAACCCCAAGTATATTAAAAAGTTGCGAATTTGTTTTGTTGTTCTACACACTTTTGGCCAAGATTGATCTTGGCCATAAACCGTAGGACGACGATAAATTTTTATGCATTTTTAAGGCCTCCCCCCTTCCCCCCCCCCATTCAATGTTGCCATTTTGTGTATATATATAATCTGTCATACTGTACAGACAACATTGTATATGTGTACTAGAAATGTGGACTAGCAACATTGAACAGGGGGAGGTGTAATATGATTTTAAACCCCAAGTATATTAACTCTTTCCTGTCACGACCCTATAAACGCAATACACTGCTGTAATACGACTTTGCAGATTCATATCTTCGGTTCGGTGCATGCTATGTAGATGAAAATATCACCATTCGATTCAGCGTGTCGAAATCTCCTAGTTCCTAACGATAGATTTAGTCGATGTCAACATTATCACAATTTATGGCCTTTGGAAGTCAAGCGAGATTGTATATTATCAAATTACGCAATTGTCTGAACAACAATGTAGACTGGCTGTACCTTTCGCCGAACATAACTTCGGCCGCTTCGGCCGTATCTTCTTTGTAATAGTCTTGTTCGAATCGCTATCAAAAACACTATTTAGAGTGTTATTTTCAAGATTGTATCATCAAATTTGAATCTTTTATTACCATATTTCCATTTCTGGTCTGACTGTGAGATAATCCCAACCGGAAGTATGACTTAAAAATGTCAAAACAATGCTACGCTTGTATCGCGTGACTCTGGAAATGCCAGAAATGGATTCTACAGGTCAAAGTGCACCGATACGTGTGAGTTTGACGTCATCCCAGCTAAAGCAAGCTCCTTATTGGCCAAGTATTACGTAATACAAGCACGTGCGAGTAAAACCCGATACCTTGAAAAATTCAAAATAAATATTTCTACTCGCCGTATTCATACGAAACTTTCTACACGAAAGCGCCTGAATACAAAGAGTATTTTACACATATAGCCTTCCAAAAAATGACGAAAAGTTTAGAAGATATTCAAGTTTTACTGTTTTTTCTCGTTTGAATGTTTGGCGAAGCGGTGAGTATAAATATATGATTGTTTCGGTTTGTGTAATGTTTTGATGGCACTTGACCCCCCGTTCGAAAGGTTATTTTGTGAGGATTTCAATGGTGGCATTTATTTAAAAGGGGGGTAAATACTCGCCGAGATATTTATTTTTGAAAAATTGAGTCGTAATGTAATGCGAAACCGGCTTGACGAGAAAGAGTTTAAAAAGTTGCGAATTTGTTTTGTCGTTCTACGAACTTTTGGCCAAGATTGATCTTGGCCATAAACCGTACGATGACGATAAATTTTTATGCATTTTTAAGGCCCCCCCCCCCCCATTCAATGTTGCTGTTTTGTGTATATATATGATCTGACATACTGTACAGACAAAATTGTATACGTGTACTAGAAATGTGGGCTAGCAACATTGAATGGGGGGAGTGGGGGGAGGTGTAATATGATTTTAATTAAACCCCAAGTATATTAAAAAGTTGCGAATTTGTTTTGTCGTTCTACGAACTTTTGGCCAAGATTGTAGATTACTTCAATACAGGGTATATATAAAAAAGGCAACCTCGGAATTTCCCAAGAAATCGATGCTGTCTTAAGGACAAAAGATTTTTGGTGCCTGAGAATTTAAAATAGCACAACTGTCAAAATTACTGCACACGCAAGTGCATAAAGAAAAATTTATGCATTTATTTAATGACACTTAATAAGTTTTTATTTTACAAGTACAGTACAACAACAGTAATATAATCTATTAGCAATTCGATTTCAATGGATCATTCCCCAATTAATCTAAATTTTGAACTCAACACGTTCAGACAAAAATTTGATCACAGCTTGAAAGAACATCACACAATTAGTAATATTCCAAAGTTTCATTGCAAAATGTTGTAAAATGCGGATAATATAGCCATGCGAAGTTTGCAATTTTCAGTCATTTTAGATTACAAACGGGAAATGGTTACCACTTCTGTGCGTAATACAAAATGACTGAAAATTACAAACTTCGCAAGGTTATATTATCTGCATTTTACAACATTTTGCAAAGAAAGTTTGGAATATTACTAATTTTGTGATGCTGTTTCAAGCTGTGATCAAATTTGTTTAGGCTAGCTAAGATCAAAATTTGGAAAAGTGGTATATAACCATTTCCCATTTGTAATCTAAAATGACTGAAAATTGCAAATTTCGCAAGGCTATATTATCCACATTTTGCAACGAAACTTTGGAATATTACTAATTTTGTCATGCTCTTTCATGCTGTATG